AGAAGTGACAGCAAGATCGCCATTGCTGTCGGTTCGCAGTCATGACCTTCAGTGTCTCCAACTATGCGGTTTGGTAGTCTTTTGAACCCCGTCCCGGAAGACGAGAGACATCTACTCTGCCTAATCACTCTGTGCATTTCTTCAAGCCTCGTCTCCACGTCATCTGCTGGCCTCCACGTGTCTTTCTCCAACCTGCAACAGCCAATGCAAATAAGTTGCGCTGCGGTAGGTGATTGTCGGACATACGCAAAACGTGTCCTAACCAATGGAGGTGGATTCCCTATATATCCCTATATATGTATTTTCCCCAGGAAGCCTTTGTATGGCCGCACCCCCCTTCCTGAAAGTCGACTGTACATTTGTATATTCAATAAATAGAAAAAGGAATACAAAAATGCACATACATTTGATGCGACAGCGAGTTCTTGTTCGAAGCATTCCCAAATACCCGACGACTTATTTCTAAATTGCTAACCCGCTCACTCCATCCCACTTGGGCCAGACTATGTAAGCATCGATTATCGAAAACCAGTATGCGACGGATTTCTTCTACCCGCAAATTCAAGGACTCACAACCGTAAAGCAGAACTGATCGCACAGTGGTGATTTTTGCGACTTTTGTGAAACGTCAAGTCGCCGCCACAAATGCTTAAGTCCTGCGTACGCTGCCCGAGGCTTGAAAGGGCGCCTGGTTATCTCCTTTGATGCGCTACCGTCGTTTGTCACGTAGCTACCTAAGTACGAGAAGCAGTCAACTTCAGCTAACTCCTGACCGTCTAGTTTAAGAACAGAACTCGGCGACACCCGGTCTTGTAGCATCACGTGCTCGTCCGGTTACCCCACAAGACTCGTGCAATGTGACGTAGACAGCGGTGTTCAAACATCGACAATCTATCTTTATCCTGTTACCGTAGTGGCCAAGTTCCTGCACCGTCAAACAGCATTGGTCGAACTACCGCAGCATACACTCGACCCTTAACAGACAGCCGGATGTCGCGACGGCGCCACAGATGTCTCAAGTTGGCAAATGCCAACCGAGCTTTTTTGTATGCGCGCCGACAGTTCATCTGTGATGCGTCCGCCGGGTGAGATATAGCTGCCTGTATGCGTGCGGACACTTCATCTGTGATACGTCCGCCAGGTGAGATATAGCCTTCGTGTGTTGAAAGTTCTTGAGTTCTACTGAGGTGAAAGAAGAGTCATAGTCGGAATGCTTACAGCCAGTTCGTGGAAGACGTAATGATAGGCAAATAATAATGGAAACCGGAAGTACTCGTTGGTGGTCCCGAGTAAATATTTGTTATATCTACGTGAAGGTCTTTCGAAGTCTCGAGTAGCCTTAACTAAAACTTTGTTCTGGGGTTTTTAAAATCAGCGTTTGATCTCAACACAGCTTGCACTGGGAAATCCCTCATCGAACTTCATCTCCAGTGTACGGCAGGTTTCGTGAAAGAACGAAATAAGACAAATGGTTTATCCCAGAATAGCTAAATGCTTGCTGTTGCTCGTACAAGATCGGAGACAGTAGTACAATAGCCGCGTGAAAACATCCACTAGGTTATCATTTCCCGCACAGCAGATGACTTCATATCGGAAGCATGATAGTTCAACTAGGCATTATTGATTTTTTTTTTTCATTTCGTACTTTACATTTGGGTTCACTGTTTAGCATGAAAACAACCAGCCGCTGATCAGTAATTAGCTCGGAATGGTTTCACAGTGGGCACTTTCTTCATTTCCTTCATGCTTATACCATAGCATAAGCCACTTTTTCGACTGCGGAATGATGCTTTTCGGTCGATTTCAGAGCTCTAGAGAAAGAACGCCCCCGATATACCATTCTGAATAAGTGTAGCAACAATGACATTTGAGGTATCCGTCTTTAAAACAAGAGACACAGCAGATTCCACGGTGACTACTATATCGCTTCATAGTTCTGATTCCAGACTTTTAAAGCACCATATGACTAGTTTATACGGTATGATTGTTTGATCCTAAACCGGTTGGTTGATCGTATCTGACAAGTGCAATACGATCTGAGTGATACACTGTGATACCTAGTACAAGCTCTTGTTATTTGACATTTCGAGGCGAGTACAAGTTCCTTTGAAACCTAAATAGCCAAGATAGTTATTCGTCACACGGTCGTAATACTCTTAGCTTCTTCAAATGCTAAGCCGTATTGATT